GAGGACTGAACACTCAGGCCCTTGCACTTGCCAGGGAAGCGCTTATTCTACTGAGCCATCTCCCCGGCCCCCTTCACTGTATTTTTAAAAAATTAGTACATCTGGGGATGTAGCTCAGTGGCACAGCACCTGCCTGGCAATTGTAAGGTCCTAAGTTTGATTCCTTATATATAAATTTTTTTTTATTTTAATTTTAACATTGTGTGTGTGTGTGTGTGTGTGTGTGTGTGTGGCCAGCTCAGCCCACCAGGGGTCGGGGCTGGCTGGCATGTGGTGCTGGGGGATCGAACCGCAGTCCCTGTGCTTTGCCAAGCTTGTTCCAAGTAGGTGCTTTAGACCACTGAGCCATCTCTCCAGCCCCCTGATTCCTTATATATAAAAAAATTCTAAAAATTAGTACATATTTATCATATGTAATGATTTTTTTTTTTTTTTAAGTACAGGGTCTCACACAAGTTTAAATATCAGATTATGTTGCTTGTGTGAAGGTGCATAATGGAAGCTAGATATTGGGAAGTAGGAAGAACATGTTCAAATGGTAAGAAGACTTTGCAGGCACATGGCCCTTGGTTCAACCCCCAGCACCACTAAAAGAAAAAGAGAAAAAAGTAAGAAGGGAAACAATTTGGAGAAGAATAGGGTGCGGGGGGTGGGGGAGAAGAATGGAAGAAAAAGTGTGGAAAGAAGGCTTTCTTTGTAATACCATCTTGCTGTTGGCCTTGAACTCATTGTGAGACGGTGCTGGCCCTGAACTCTGAGTGATTCTCCTGCCTCAGACTCTGGCACAATACATTTAAATGAGGGGAAGAGTTGAAGGGAGAGAAGAGGAATGGAGAAAAGAAAAAAGGATGAAGGGGGCTGGGGAGATGGCTCAGTAGGATAAGCACTTGACTGGCAAATGCAAGGATCTGAGTTCAATCCCTGGTTCCGCAAAAAAAAAAAAAAAAAAAAAAAAAAAAAAAAAAAGAAAAAGAAAAACCAAAACCAAAAAACAACCCTAAAAAACAAAACAACAGCAACGAACTTGTGTGCTCGATTTATTTCACTTAGGATTATGGTCTCAAGTTGTATCTATACACCTAAAAACAACCTAACTTTATCCTTAATGGGATAATAGTACTCCCTGTATACAAACAAAACCCAAAACAATTAGTTTTTATCCATTTATCTACTGAGGAGCATATGGGCTATTTCCAAGATTTAGCTATTACAAACTGTGCAGCTGTAAACATGGGTGTTTGTGTATCACTGTGGTATGATGCTTTTAACTTTTTCAGAGAGATACTCTGAAGGGGAACAGTTGGGTCAAATGGAAACCACTAGTTTCTTGAGGAATTTCTACACTGATTTCCACAGTGGTTGCACCAACTTATATTCCCATTAGCAATGGAAAAGAGTTCATTTCCCCCCCACACCCTCCCTCATCAGAATTTGTACTTGGTTGCTTGATAATGGCCATTCTTTTTTGGTGATGAAATTTCCA